TTGCTGGCAGTTGCCTCGGGCAAGGGCAACCAGGGGGAAATGGTGGAGGACAAGAGAGAATTTTCCATGGCCCGCCCTGGAGACTTTTTGATGTCTGCTGTGTGTCTAACTTTTTCAAAGGATAATATAACTTTAAACAAGTTAAGACGACTGGGATGGGGAAGGGGTTGGGGAAGAGGGAGGACACAACGGATGGATGGATGGATGGATGGATGGATGGATGGATGGATGGATGGATGGAAGGATGGATGGACGGACGGACGGACAGGGCTGCAGTAGCAGGAAGCGCTCTCAGGCGCACTGGATGCCAGAGAAAAGCCACTGGCTGAACAGAGGATTCAGAATGAAACCACCCAGGTTTTGTAAAAACAAAACAAAGGGATAAAAATATTCCCCCCAATCATGGTCCCCTGAGGGGGTGGGGGGAAGGTGAGCCAAGGAAATCTTTTGTTTTCTCGGTTTTTGTTTTGAAGGGGAGTCAATCTGTATAATGTTGGAGGGACCACGGAGTCGGTTCTGACTCAGAGCACCCTATGAAGATCCGAGGAAGCCATGCTCCGTCCTACACTAGTCTCACGTCCATTGTAGCAGCCGCAGGGCCAATCCATCTCCCTTGGGGGGGGTGGGGAGTTCCTCTTTTTTGCTGACCCTCTGCTTTTCCAAGCATGATGTCCTTCCCCAGGGACTGGTCCTTCCTGTGAGCATGTCCTAAGAGATTCTAACCCATAGCGACCCCATGCACGGACATGTCCAAAGTACAGGAGATTAAACGTCTCCAGTGTTGCCATCCTCGCTCCCAAGAAGCACTCTGTTATATTCCATATTCTCTGGCCATGTATAATAGCTATGTAATTATAATTCCCAAACACCCAACACCCTCCCATTCCAAGCAGCAGGCACGTAGGCTGGGCCAGAGGAGCACGGGTGAGCACACAGGCCTGGACGCTGCTCCCAGGAGGGGAACCCCACAGATCTCAGTGAGGACTCCTACTCTTGGACTTCAACAACCTCATCAACACTTCCTTGCAGTGGAGACCACTGACACGCAAGCCCCTGCCCCTGCCCCTGTCCCTGCCTGGAGAGATGGGTGCCTGGCGGGGCTGGAGACGAAGCCAAGCTCACCATGAAGAACTTCCTAACAAACACGCAAGGATGGCGCAGACTGCTCTTGGAAGGACCGAGCTCTCGGTCCGTGGAAGGATGCAAGATCCTGTTGAAGATGCTACTGAGGACCACTGGCAAAGAATACTGAAAGTACCCTGGGCTGCCCAAAGGACAAACAGATCTGTCTGGGAAGAAGAACAGCCAGAGTGCTCTTTAGAGGCAAGGATGGGACTTGAGACTTGGGCTCACACTTTGGACATGCTGTCAGGAGACCAGTCGCAGCAGAAGGACATCATGCTCGGTAAGTGGAGGGGCAGCAAAGAAAAGGAAGGCCCTCAAGGAGATGGACTGATTGACACAGTGGCTGCACCCGTGGTCTCAGGAACAAGCATGGGAACAATTGTGAGGATGGCGCGGGAGTGGACAAGGCTTTATTCTGTTGCGCACAGGGTCGTTATGGGTTGGAACCAACTCCATGGCCCCTAATCATAACAACAACACACGGACAATTTAAACGTTCTTCTCCCCACAGAGAGCAAGTTCCCCCTCCTCCCCAGTTCTCTCTGAATTCACACTCCACAACTTGTCATTCTTTGTCTCTGTGAAAAGTCTACGAGATCTCTCCCCAGACCTTGGCGTGTGATCTTTCCTCTGCCTTCCCATTCCCTGGTAGGAAGGGTCCCTATTCAAAAGAAGGAATTGAAAACTAGGTCAGCAGTTTGAAACCACCAGCTGCTCAGTGGGAGCAAGATGAGGCTTCCTGTCCCCATTGAGGGTCAGTCTTGGAAACCCACAGGGCCAGTTCTACCCTGTCCTATACGGTTGCTATGAGCTGGGACCAACTCGATGGCGGTTAACTTTTTGAAAACATAAAGAGCGGATTGTATTGTCTTAGGTTCAGGGTGGTTGTTCAGTAAGGCAATTAACAGGCATCCTTGATTTGAAAGTTTTTCTTAGCAACAACAACAAAACTAAACACTTTTGACTTTATGGCTCTGCTTACCCAGGAAACCAAAGAGTAACGATAAACCCTGATCTCAACTGGAACACGTGGGCCCTGGTGGTGCAGTGGATTACCCGTTGGACTGCTATCGACAAGGTCAGCAGTTTGAAATCCCCAGCAGCTCCTCTGGGGAGAAGTGAGTCTTTCTACCCCTGTAGAGAGTCAAAGGCCTGGAAGGTGTGGAAACCCACAGGGCAGTTCTCCTTGGCCTACAGGGTCCACTCCTTGCAGTGTTAGAATGGACTCCATGCAGTGAGTGTGGTTAAAACTGCCAGAAACTGTTCTTTGGTGATGCTAAGAAAGGATATTAGCCAGGCCATTACGTCCTCATTTAAATTTCCAAAAGCTTCAAAACTGCAGGAGGGTGAAGGGCCAAATTATTTGCAGCCAGGCCCAGAGTCAATGGGACCCTGACTGGGCCACATACATTGTTACATAGAAGGGCTTACAAGACGGATCCAGGACCTTCCAACCAAGGCAGTCAGGGTGAAACTGATAAGGGAAGGCATGACTCCTGACTCCAGGACTTCCAGGATTGCCCCCAGTCCGGTCACCTCCATCAAGGACACAGCTAGGCAAGTCCCTTTCCTGGGCTGGCCTGACAAGGGTGGAGGGAATGCAGTCTCCAAGGTATTCTGCCTGAGAGCAAGATTATCTACATCCTTGGTTCATAACCGGAAAGCATCCGATGGAGGGAGGTTCAATCTCTATGGGGACTCTGGCAAATGGCTTTGGGCCTGTCACTGCCACCCATAGCCTTTCACAAACCAGGGTGCTCAGAATTTGAGCTCTAGTACAGTGCTCCCCTCTTCTTCATAAGCCCCAGGGTGCCCAGCTACTTCATGCCATTCCTTTGCTTTTTCTAGAATTAAAATGGCCTTCCCATATGCATATCACAGGCGAGAGATGAGGCTTTCTACTCCCTTAAAGATGGACAGTCTCAGAAACTCACACAGGCCATTCTACTCTGGCCTACACGGCCGGGATGGGAGTGAGGTATAAAACCACCGTTCAGAATAAACCCATGGTCAAATCCCGTTTTTGTTCTTATAAACCGGGTGAAGATTTGACTAGTCTCTGTGGCTTTATCATGTTCTTCCTGACAAGACAGAAGACAGGTCTCCCTCTCCAGAAGCTGGGAACTTCCTACAAGCCCACCTTCCTCCCCCCACTCACTCTGACCACTTGACCAAAGCCCGGAGAAAGAGAAGGGATGGGGAATTTGTGTTCATCTTCCACTCACTGTCTTCTACAGGCAGTCTTCCCTGATCCCTCCACGAGAAGAGTACCCTCTGGGCGCCTCCCAAACAGGTCAAGAGCTCCTGGAGTACAGGTACTCAGCCTGGCGTGCCCCCCTGGCCTCCCCTCAACAACTCAAGGGGCCTGTGGCCCCTGGGAACATAGCTGAGAATGCTAATTAAGAGCATGTGCCCTCAATTGCAGCTGTAGCATGACTATGACGGGGTAAGTAACTGGCCTGAGCCTCATTTTCCTCACCTGTGAAATAGGGGCCCTCCAAAGGCCCCGGCGGAAGGAGGGCCCAGTGCTCACCTGTCTGAAGGGAATCATTATGCCCCCATCAGGGCTTCCTAGCAGATGGTGGAGCTTGTTGGGTCCACTGTCAGACCCAACGGACCTGTCCACTTGTCTGCAACAGGTGGGTTGGAGAAGGCTCTGGAAAGTGTGAGCCTTTGAAGTCCTTTACCCACTCCACTGCCTCCCAAAAGCACTACAGCGGGGCTTCAGTCGAGAGACCCAAATGCCAAGGCCTTGGCTGCAAGCCTTACATTCCACTGGACCTCAGTGTTTCCATCTGTGGGGTGGGATGCAGATGCTCAGGGCTAGGGTGTTGAGCCCACAGGGGCCCCCACACCGAGAACACAAGTCTCCTTCAGAGGAACCCTGGAGGGCCCTCCTGATCCGCAAAAGACAAAGGCCCTTGTGGCCATTGACTCCATTTGGACTGGGAGTGACCCAAGTGGGGCTGTCCCCACAGGCGTCAAACCTCAGCTGGGATCCTAATAGAAGCCGATGTCCTTCCCCTGGCCAGGCTGGCAGGCAGGAGGTGGTTAACCCATCACCACGGCGTCCCCAGGCCTTCATCAGTCTCCAGAAAGCCTTCCTCATTCCAATTCTTATTGTTCAAAGGCAAATGAGCTGCGTGCCCAGGGCCTGGCTCTCAGACTAACCCTCAGACCCGCCTGGCCACGGGGCAGCTGCTACAGCAGTCGACATCCACAGTCCAAAGGAGGCCGCTGCACAGCAGAACCTCTGAATCAAACCAAATCTGTTTCTCACGGTGGCCATCCCAGAAGACACCCACCTACTGAGGGCACCCGACTCACTCCCCTTTCACTTTCCCATCTCCAAGCCTCTGGTTCGGCCTTGCCCTGCGGTGCCAGTTTCTTTCTCCCCCCGCCCGCCCCAGATCTCCTCCAGGAAGCCTTCCCGGCTCCGGGGCACAGATTCTCAACCACAGAGATCGCAGGCCGGCAGAGAATTTACAACGGAGATGTCGGGCCCGCGGGGGCTGATACTCTAATTATTAGAGTCTAATATAAATTCCACATTTTATCCAGAGGTGGGAGGGAGGAATCCGCAGTTGAAACAAACCCCAGGGAAAGGCGGGGAGGAGACCACAGAGATTAGGGATCTCAGAGATCAATGACTGACCCAGCGGGAGGTTCCCAGCTCGGATAGGGTCCGGAGGAGCCAGCAGCAAAAGGATCCACCCACCCCCGAGAGCGCCCCAACCAACTGCAAAACCCACACCCCTATAGCAGATTACGACTCACAGCGACCCCCGCTGTAAATCTTTCGGAAAACAGACGACTACGTCTTTCTCTCGGGAGTGGGTTTCAACCACTAAGTCCCTTAGCGGACGACTGGCTACCTTAACCGCTGCGTCGTTGGCCTCGGAAAGTGGTTCAGGCTGTCAGCCGTCCCGGATGTCTCCTGGGGGGGAACCCCCGCTTTCTGAGCCCGCACAAAAGGGGCTGTGCGGAGAAAGGTACCACCCCCAGGCCTGCGCCTGCAACCCTCCGATGTGGGGTTGCGGAGGAGCGGCTGGAGTCCCACGCCCGGCTCCCCGCAAACGCGCCCCCAGCCCTGCCCCCGAGCGCTCCGTCTTCGCCCCACGGGGTGACCGAGCCGGTTGAAACCCGCGGGTCACCCAGTGGGTGCCAGAAGGACCCGGCCCCCTC